TTCTTAGTCTAGTTGTTGAGTTTTCCTATGTTTTCTTTTCTAGAATTTTTGGTCGAGGGATCTACAGGAGAGAGTTCATGATAAATTAACTCTAAATTATTTATTATATTGTACAATATATATTTATATTATAATATCTATAATATATAATCATAGATCTATTATGCATTTGTTACGTTACACATATTCAATATACGTACATTATGGAATTTGATCTATAATTACATATGACCCCTATTAATATCAACCTATTTGGATCGGGTGATTTGGTTGATATATGCGGGGGTTGATAACAAAGGAGGATCATATATCATAGGCAGAAATTCATCTGATTGGCTGATATAAATCAATTGCCCGTGTGACTTTTTTAGAACTAAACGTTACACTAATAAAAAATCACCACAAATGCTATTTCTATGAACGCTGTACAAAAGAATCTCAAAAAGATCATACTTCATACAGAATTTGCTTAGAAGAAACAATATATTAAATAGTTATTGGACTATGCGAAAATATATTATAAAGTAAAAGTACTGTCTAAAATTCCTTTATTATGTTAGTTCTAAATAAACTATTACTAACAGCATAATTTAAATAGGTACAAGCACTTTATTAGTAAAAGATCTGGATTTAATATTTAGATCTAGTAAGCTTTTGTAATGTGTTCTGGTTTGTCAACCATAATTAAAGCTTGGGATTATATATTATAGATACTTCAATGAGTTTGATTTTATTAGTAATAAAGATTGCGTTTACCTACTTTACACATATTATCCATTTTTTAAATATATGCAATAAATTCTTTTGCATATATTTATGTATTTATGAGTTTTCTTTTTGTATTAAACTGATGAACTTTTTTTGAAAATTATTGGTTAATTAGCAGTGTAATCACGGGTAAATCTTTGAAAATTAACCAATCAAATGAATTTCTCTTACATATGTACGTATAAAGATCGTATTATGTTATTTTGGTCTTATTTTGGATGTCTTAAAACTATTTTTGAGTCACTGTTTTTATTTCCTTTAGTAATGTAAATACTATAAGTTCAACAATAGCGATAAAGCTATATAATCCCATATTGTTATATAAAAAAGAAAAAAAAAATTTCTAAATGTAAAAAAAAAAAAAAAAGATCTAATATAAAAAAAAAAAAAAAAAAAAAAAGCAAATAAAAAAAAAGGCAAGTATTACAGTCTATTTTACTTTATAGTATTCTTGACTAAACTATTTCTAATCAAAAATTAACCTATTTTTAAAAAAAATCAGTTACTTTTTTTTGCTTCTTTGATTGAGAAATATTCAAATGAATTCATTTTAACAAACTCCGCAATTGAGGTAAGTCTTGGTTTGTAACAAATTTAATTGGTTCTTGTTGTTCTATATATTGTATGAGCAACTTACATTGCTTCAAAGCAACAGAATGGGAAATTTTTTCAATTTCAACATTGTCTTCATCATTGCTACTATTAGAATCGGATTGAGGGTGAATTTCTTCAAGGATAGCAGCTTTATCCAAAACAACCTTTTCTATTTCAAGAGTATCATCAATTCGAATGTAATTATTAGCAGTCATTACTTTTGTATAATTAAAGGAGATTTTAGAAATAAGACTTTCAACATCTGCTTCAACTTCAACTTCACTTTCAGCATCACCTTCAGCATTAATCTCATTTTTAGCTTTAACTTCATCTTCTATTTCGACTTCTGTTCTGGCTTCAATATCTTCAACATTCCAACTTAATTGACTCCACTCACTTGATGGCATGATTTGGGTTTTTCTCCAGCAATTCATGATCGTTTTGGAGGTTACATTATCCCATGCTTCCGTAACAAACCTAATTGCAGTGATATTAATTTACTAATTACTTTTTTTTTTCTTTATTTTTTTTTTCTTTTTTTTTCTTTATTTTCTTTTTTTTCTTTTCTTTTTTTTTTATTTTTTTTTATTTTTTTATTTTTTCTTTTTTTTTTATTCAATCTTCAATTTGTATATTACCTTATTGCTTCTAAGATATTAAGGCGAGGTATTTCTTCCTTAGCGTTGATTGCATCTACAATATTTTGAAGATATAATTTTCGATAATAAGATTTAAACAAATTTATGATCTCAGCATCACATAGTTGCGAATAAGAGGTTGTATGAGGCGGTAAAATATGAAGTTTAATATGAGTATATTCATTATTTGAATGAGAGGATGCACCATCAATTAACAGAAGAATTTTTTTTTTTTTTAGTCTACACGAGGTATTCAAGGATTTTACCCAACGTTCAAAAATAGCACTTGTCATCCATGCTT